CCCCTCCATTCCCAGGCGGCTCCATCGAAGACAGTGACGGTTGTAGCTAAAACGACACTTTGTTCCTCGAGTCATTAGTCAGAAAGGTACTAAAAGCCCAGTGTTTGCTCAGATAGTTCCGGCTGAAGGCTACGCTCGTGTTGTCGGAAACTATGGAATGTTTTGCCATCGGTTCTAATGAGGAGAAAGAAGCAAAAAGGGCCCATCTACAACGTAAATGCTTGGCAGACGACCCGTAAAATTGTTCCACTTCTGAATTTTCGTACTGCGACTTTTACGCTTTGCTCACGGATTCTCAACTCTTTTTTATCCTTTAGGAAAGGGGTGGGGAGGGGTGTGTCCTTTGTTTCTTGGTATTTAAATTAAAGTTTACGCCTCCGCTGTTCTGTGGAACATAAGGAATTTACACGCCAGCATTTATTACGCAATCCATACAGACGTGCGCAAGTTTATCATGTGGCGGTCGGGATTTTTAACCCAATGATGCTATGGTGGTAATCATCATCATCATTGCCTTTTTCCCCCTGGATCAGGATATAGGCGTGGGTAATACCACAAAACAAATTATTTCACTTTTGAATGAAAAACTTGGAATCGATGAGAAGCGCCTTCGATCAACAGGAATGTTTTCTGTGCTTCTTCTAAGCCACATTCTTGAGGGGTTCTGAGCTCGATTGTTGAAAGAGAAATTCCCACGTTGTCTAGTGAATGGGCAAAGATCGATACTTTGTTTTGATGAGTACCAAACCGGATAACCGGATTTAAAGAGTGTAATTATAAGATGGGTCGTTCTTCCTTGTGAGATACGAAACAAAATCACACCGGTGGTAACATTAGCTGCTACATCTGTATCGTTTTAGGTTGGGGCGGATTTGTTTTTGTTGTTGTTTTTGGGTTGTTGGTTGTTTTTTTATTGTTTGTTTTTGTTTTTGGGTTTTTTGTTGGGTTTTTCTTTTTTTTTCGAGGGGGGGGGGGCGGAGTCACATACATAACACATGTACATGTATTAATGTACAAATAGTGGGAGCAAAGATTGTTGTAACCACAGATTAAGTAAAATAGTCTTGTATTGTAATATTCAAGACAATGCATTCACCTTGGCGCGCACCATCCGACTCTATTTTGGAACAAAGGGAAAGTTAAAGAGGCAAACGTAGCACACAATCGAAGTTTTGATAGAGAGCACAGAGCTACGGCCATGACAGTGTCCGGTCTAGGGTGATAAGATTATTTAAGTCAACGGTTGTAACAGAGTCTGTGTGGGAGAAACGAAACAAAACGTTATCGTATGTGCCTGTGGCCGCTGAGAGAGAGAGAGAGAGAGAGAGAGAGAGAGAGA